TAGCCCATAAGGCTTCGGGGGTACCGTAAGACACCTCCTGAGTGTGGGACCCAGTAAGGGGTCTGACAACCCACAGGCTTTAAAGGAGTCTGTCAGGACTGTGACCAAGCAGTAACTAAAGGGCAGTCTCCTGATTCATCATTTATACCAGCAACACGTGGCAGGCGAGATTAGTAGGCACCCATAGGGCGGAGCCAGCATGGTCACGGTGCCCTAGGGACATCATGGCCATCTCTGGGGAGGCTGTATCATGACAACTACAAACAAAACTGCTATAGAGAACACCAAACCCTCTACTTATTTTAAAACAGTCTGAAAAAGTCAAACCAACAAGATACAAAAACAAAAAACAAAACAAAAAAAAAACCAAAAACCAAAAAACAAACAAACAAAAAAAAAAAACACACAAAAACAGTGGTTCAAAGCAGGCACAGATCAAGACCCCGCACTTTAATTCTTTTTTTCAAAAAAGCCACAAGTGTATATATAGACAAAACAAAGTCTATTCTTTAAAATATTAGATAAAATATATACACTAATAAAAAAATTACCAGTTGTGTGAAAAACTAAGTTTTTCATATTTGGGTATTTTGTTCTATTTTATATATTGTCAGTAACAGTCTCTAAATACAAAGATGACAGTCTTCCAGGAGACAGGGAAAAAGTCGTCCTGTGAGCCCATAGATAACTGAAGAAACCAATCCGAGATCTGCATGTTCAACTGCAGATATGGCGTACAGTAAGGAGGAGTGGATCCTGGTGATGTCACAACTATTTCCCTTTGTCTCTTGGTAATTTGCCTCCATAGTAAGGCGAATTTGCTCAAAATAGTAGATGCCTTGTCATATTTCACAGACATTGGAGACAATTCAGTGGTCAGGTCTCCCAGGTATTGATGTTAATAATGTACTTCTTCAGATGGGTGTTCAGAGTGTCCTTGTATCTCTTCTATTTGCTAGAATTGTGAGCATTGGTGTATTGGGAGTATAGGACCTGTTTTGGGAGCTGGCATCCTGTCAGGCATCCTTATGACATGCCCTGTCCAACAGAGTTGGTGCCATATGAACAAGGCTTCAGTGCTGGCAGTGTTTGGTTAAGCCAAAATGCTGGCATTCATTCTTCTGTCCTTCCAACTGATATGGAGGATTTTCTGAAGGCATCACTGATGATAACGTTCCAAGGCTTTCAGCAGTTTTCAATATGCTGTCCAGATTTCACACCCATACAACAGGGTAGGGATGACAACAGCCTGTAGACAAAAAGTCTGATTTAGGCCTGATGTCATGATCATTGAAGACGCGATTTTGAAGAAGCCCAAAGGCAGCACTTAGCAGATTTTACATGGTACTGAATATCATCATCTACATTTGCATTTTGGGAAAGATGACTAGCCAGGTAGGGGAAATGCTCAACACTTTCCAAGGACTTCCCTCTGTAATCTGGGGAGGAACAATTGGATGGTTTGGGGTAGTATCTTCATTTCTGTGAAGCTGACAGTGAATCCAAAAATGACATATGATTCACAGAAGCAGCTGAGTGACCTGGAGCTCTTCAACTGAGTGGGCACGCATGACACAAATCATCAGCATACTGAAGATTAGCAATGGAGGTGTTGGTTATCTTGGATTTGAAATGTAACTGGTTGATGTTAAAGATATTTCCATCCAGGAGATACTGGCTGCTGACCCCAGATGGAAGTCTATTAGCACTGAGATGTGGAAAGCTGTGATAAAGATGGAAAAAAGCCTTGGTGAAATCATCACCAGGAATCCGGGTTTTCCATTTCCCACGGAAAAATGAAGAAAACCACAGAGTTCCCATTTTTATCAGAGAAAAAACAGATTTTCCCTTTTAGCAGAGAAACCTGTGGATTTCCTGGTTTTGCAATAAACTCTGCTGGCTGGCAGAGTTCCAGCCTGCAAGAGCCAATTGCAAAAGGTGCGGGAAACAGTGTTTCCTCCGAGCAATGTGGTATGCATGGCCACACAGGCATTCCTGGCAGCACAGCATGAGCAAGCCTGCACAGAGGTGCACACCACGCAGCTTAGAGGGAATGCTGGTGGGAAACCCCCAACCCTGCCCAGAGGGGGAGGAGAAGGAGAGGGGGAAGGGCAGGGCCTGAGGCTTTTAGTCAGTCCCAAGGCTTACCTCTGGCTCACCTAACCTTACAGGTTCCAGAAGGAAAGTAAGTGGGGTTTACAGGGGGCTGGGCAGGTTGTGGGGCTGGACTGGGGGTGGAAACTGGCTGGGGGCTGAGCTAGCTGTGCAGGGGGAAGATGCTGGTGAACGACACAGAGTGCCCAGCCGGCAGTACATGGGCTGCAAATGGCCCCCAGGAGCTGGCCCCACCCCTGCCTGAGCCCACAGCAGGCAGCAGTGGGGGAGCCGGCTCTGTGCTCCTTCTGCTGTAGCTGCCACCTTTTGGGGGCAGGGAGCTGCAGATCTGGGTCCCTGGCCCTAACAACTGAGGGCCCCCTCTGGCAGGGCTGGCTGGGCAGGGGCTGTGGAGGCTGTTGTGGGGGTAGTAAGAGGCAGCAGCAGGGCCGGGGAGGGCTGTGGGAGGCCTTCAATTTTAATCATGGATTTTGGTGTTCTTAAATAAGAGAGTATGCTATTAAAAAATAAATAATCAGGGAAAACCAGGATCCCCGATTATCACACATTCTTGCTCGACTCCAGTTCTGATGGTGAAGGGCTCATTTCCGAGCCATTGCTTGGAATGGTTGCTGTTATGGTGTCATGAAGATGGCTAATGATAATAAATTTTGGCAGGCATCCTAATCTTATCAAGATCTTCCATGGGGGCTCTCTGCTAATTGAATCAAAAACCTTAATCAGGTCAAAGAATGCCATGTAAAGATCTCAGTGTTGCTCACAGCACTCTCTCAGCTTTCTAGCAACAAAGATCTGGTCTATTGTACCCCTGAATGGTCTGGAAACCACACTGAGACTCAGGTAGAACTTCTTTGAAAAACTGGTTGTGCAGTCTCTGCCCGATCATTCTTGAAATTGTTTCACACTATCTGTAGGGGAGAACCTCAAGACAATTTTGATGTGATTTACACTGTAAGCTCTTAACAGCAGTGGTTTATCTTCCTCTGTGCGTGGTCCGCAAGTGCCGAGCTCACTGTACGGCATACCATTTGGAACCAGGTCACTGATACCATACAGAGCCTCTAGAACAGGGGCGGGCAATTATTAGGGCCCAAGGGCCACAGAGTTTTGATGAGCTGTCACAGGTCAGCTGCAGCTGCACCAGGAACAGCCCCACTGGAAGCTGTATTCTGGGGGCCCAGGTCAGCAGGGCTGTTCCGTTCCTCTCACCTCTGGTGGCGGCTCCAGCTCCTGCCCCTGCTGTGTTGCTCCAGGTGGGTGGGGAGGAAGCTTCAGCCTGGCAGCTCCCACTGAATCCAATCAGTTCAATTGTTTTACTTTTTCCTGGGAACACCAGTTAAATTAACCACAATTATTTTTGCCTCTAATTTCTGTTTCTCCATATTATACCTTGTCCAATTGAATGACAAGTTTTGTAGTCTTAAAACTCTTAAGGAAGTGCTTCTATTGTACTTATTTCAGATAAATCAACATTCGGCTTGACGTCAAGGCTATAATCTGATGCACACAAGCCATTCATTTATCTAGTTAATTACTTGCTCATTAATAGCCAAGACAAATGAGTGAATTAAAAGAGTAGGACAGAATATTTCATTTATATAAATACAGATTTTTCCTGTTTGGTGAATATCAAAGTATATTTACATTTCAAACGAAACAGTTCTCCAAGAATTTTTAGGCAGAAAGCAGAACAAGGTGGCACTTTACAGACTAACTAGTTCAGAAGTGTCTTCATAGGAAATAGCCTACTTCACAAAGATATTCTGAAATATAGTACAAAGCTCTTCCAGGTTTTTATATCTCCCCTGTAAAAGATAAATTATAGTATACATAACTCCTTCATACAGATTCGCACACAACTCAGAAGGATAACAGGATTTATATACAGTGGAAGGGGGAAAAAACATCTCTCCTGAAAATCAAAGTTAAAACTGCCAACCCATTTCATTTTAGCTTTCCTAATAATTTAATGTTAACAAAATTTTATTAAGAGTAATAACCAAGAAACAAAAAGGCCGTAGGATTCTGTCACATATTGTACATACTTCCACATCCCAGCTTGCTCAAGAGTACCCTGCCTTTGATGTGCCTCTCTCCTCACTTTATGACATGCTTGAACAAGGCATCTTTTTACTCTCCCCTAGCAAGCTTGCTACACAGTCTCTTGCAAAGTAGAGTAGCTTGTGACAGCTTAAACAAGTTACATGGCATCTTCTCATTGAACATATGGTTGCTATTCATATTTGGTGGCCATTTTTTTTTAATCAGTGTAACTTGGTTTGTGCAGAAATATTCTCACTTTTATAAAAATCCTATGACATTTAGCTAAAAGTCATTAAACACACAGATTCAAAAATACAATATTGCATTCTTGAATGAAAAAAAATATACTCAATTGAATGGAAAAGGACAGGGACTCAAAAGACTTGGGTTTCATCCCCAACTCTGTCAGCGGCCTATATCTAAGAGCCTTGAATAGGATGTGAACATTATACAATAACAGTATCATTCCCTTTGACCTTCCCCACCAAGGACCTTATTGTGTTGGGTTTCAACCTGGTGACATTTTTTGCAGCTAAATCCTATCAGTAGCAACTTATAATGGAAACAATGACAAAAAAGTGTGGTGGGGAGCAGAGAAAGCTCTCACAGCTAGCTAAAAAGATGGGAGCTGTGAGGAAGTATACTGCTTACCTAAGGCTGGGCAAGAAGGGTAAACTTCCCATTGTTTATAGCAGACCTGCTGGTTGACAACATATATACAGTAGGGAGAGAAACCTGAACATAAAGATTAAAGGGAAAATACCTGGCAAAATGTAACTTTTTTTTCAGTCACTCTCTAATGAGAAAGGCTTAACTCCTTTAAAAAATTACCAAGAAATACACTACATGTTGTTTATACAAACACAGTTGGAGACGTGAGTTTTTTGCCTGGGAAAACCATCTTCAAAGTAGCGATTGTTTTCCCAGCTGTGAACACTCTTTCCTGGGAAATCTGTTCCTAGCATTACAAAAATATTTTTCAAAGGAATGTAAAATTATTCAGCCTAATCTATGCATATCTGTATTTCAGAAAAAAAATCTGTACTTTCTTGGACTTGTCTGCTTATAAGAAGCCTAATATTCCTTATCACACAGTGAGATGTACCCCTTTTAAAATAAAAAATGTAATTAATTTAGCAAAAGAATTGAGATTCTCCATAAGCATTCTGAGAAGACAAGTGCGCTTAGAGAGAAATAAACACTGAAGTCTCTTAAACAGTTACCCACAAAGTTTATTTATTACTTCTTATTAATTTGAACAATATTACAGAAATATGCAAAAAACCCAAGAAAACATGCAAGACAGGTCACATCTTCCTGTATCCCGCACAGTAAATCACAAAAGCCAAACAGGATTTCAAGCCAATATATTACACCATTTTTACCAACAAATTTGTATCCTATCCAAGCCAACAGTAAGTCATCCTAAGAGGACAGTGGGTGCTAACAAAACTGTTATTTACGTGTGGAGTGATTCAGTCAAGGATATTAATTTAATCCTAAAGCAGCTCAAAAGAGGAAAAAAAAAATGAAGGAAGCAGAATATTTCAGCCATAAAAGTGAACAGACACAGCATGCCTGCATGAAGGCAGTGGCATCCTCACACTCATCCTAATGTTTAACTTTACAGTTTTCAGAAACATCCATCAAGGTGCCCGTTTCTTAAGAAGCGAGTTTGGACATCATGGAAATGTTGAGATCAAGTTGAGGGCAGCGGAAATTACTATTTAAGTCGGATGTTTTCCTTTTGATGCTAGTCTCATAACTTGCAAGGCACTGGTTATGAGACTTATTAGAGTAAAGAAAACTATAAGAAGGATACTACAGTAGGAAAGTCTGCAGTACTGAAGGACCCATATGATGCAATATGAACTTTTTAATATTCCTGTATTCAGTATAGCGGGCTGATGCATCTTTTAAAGCCAAATAAAAGAGTAAAGAATGGAATAAAGACATAATACTGAGGCACAAAGTACATAATTTGCAGTTAAGTACAGAATTGAGATAACAGCTTACAAACAAGCATTTGGTGGAAGAGCTGAAAGAGGACCTAACAAGACAATATCCCAAGGTTTCCACACAAGCCAAGATGCAGCTTATTTCAGCAGCCCAGCAACAGTAAATTCACTTTGACCATCTCACCTACAGTTATTCTCCCTTTGTATAACGAGCCAGAGGGCAAACGCTCCCTCTGAAAATTAGATAAGCCTTCTACTCATTAAAGCGTTTTGCAAACAAATTCCGCATCTCAAAATGTCAGCATGCTCCTAGTATAAATTAGTGAGGTGACAAATTAAGTACACCCTGAAAAAAGCCTTGCAGTGAAAACATAACATTACACGCCTGTCTTAGTCTCACTAAATGTGTTGTCACTACCCCTACTACCTTAAAGATCCTATTATAAACAATAATTTATATCCTACCAGTAAGGTAACTACCTTACAGCTTGCTGAATGGGTATACTTGCAGAGTTTAATCCCCCTAACAGACAAAGACCTTTTAATTAGAGTATTATACATAGTGATATTAAAGAAACACTTTTTAATGGAGTTGTGTTACTGCTTAGTACAAATAACTCTCCACTGCCCTTTGTAATAACCCTTCTAAAACTTGAAAATAAAAATATTCTCCCTACTGATTTTGCCATTTTCCATTTGGTAAGTAGATTGTCACTATTTGGGCACCTGCACACTATTTAACTGAAAAAGGAAGACTATCAGCTACTTGTTTATTCTCTGTTGTTTGTATTATCTGCGTGGAATCTTGAAAATAAATTCCTTTCCCACTGACTTTGTCTTTCTTTGGGGAAAACATTGTGCTTTCTTCCCTATTTGCTCGCAATACAAAAGGCAACAACTTAAAGGGAAGCCCTTGTCTTATTACTATAAAGTTATGAACTGGGGTCCTGCCATAACACTTGGTGACTCAGTGCCTGTATAAAGGGAGATTTGGATTTACAAAGGCTGACTGCCTCTTATTCAAATCTCATGCAAGGTTACAGTATTTGCTAGACTAAGCTGAGAGGGCAGAAAATGAATACAAAATTAAACTTTTGAGTTTTTGTGTAATGATATCTTGCTCTCTGCAAAATTCAGATGATTCAACTGAACTCAATTTTATAAATGAACAAATTACACTGAGGAAACATGGTCATCTCCATGCTTAGCTCAAAGGATTAATATTGCTTTTGGATATGGTAAAATTACTCTTACTAGAACTCAGAGATCCTTCACACCACCACCACCACACCTCTTCAGGGACAAACTGCAGCTCTGAACCTGTACACTCCAAGCGCCATAGTGTTGCTTTCAGAGGCTCTCTCAATCAGTGCTACCCTGAAGCAGCTAAGAATTACGGGGAGAAATAGTCCCTAAATACAAGTAAGATAGGGTAATTGAAAACGAGCAATTCTAATACCTCTAACATTTTGAGCTGACATTTTTATAACATTGCAACCCTATTTTAGAGGGCAGGAAAAAAAATTCCTAAAATGAAAAAACTGCATCAGAGAGGCTTGACATGTTGGGAAGAGGATGCTTTTAAATTTTGATTGCTGCACTAGACTGGCATGCCTTTTAAATCTATTTTCACCATATCTGTTATTTTCTAAATAATGTGGCTTAGGGAGGATAATTTTCAAGTACAAGCAGTTGCACATTTTGATATATTGCAAAAACATTAAAGTTAAACAAGTAAAATTCATGTTCAGGTAATTCTAAAACCCACGGTAAAAATGTGTGTGGAGATCACTACTTGTGTTAATTCTTTGTTAAACTATTTACCATAAACAGTAACATAATGCCAATTGTGAGAACCACACATGCCTGAACAAGGGATTTAAAATTTATACAACATGCTTTTCAAATCCACTGAAGAAACGCACTGTCATTTAGAATGGTATAGTTCCAAAATCATTCGTGAAAACATTTATAAATCAGACATGAATTGATTGTTGCTATTTAATGTAAAAGGGAGAATGTTAGTAGATGAAAATCAATAAAACACCAAGATTCTTCTGAAAGGTCAACCTGATCCAAAGAAAAATGCTTTACTCCTACAAGCGTAAGTATTTTGGAACAAATTTCATGAAACAATGATCAATGTAACAGTAAATCCAGTCACTTAAGACACATTTCAAGTTGCCCTCTTGCAGCTCTACAACAAAAATCAATTAGAAATTTACATTTTCTACTTTGTAGACTAAAAGTACTCTGCTAGAATGGCTAAACATAAATCATGGGTAGGCTTGGCAGGATTCAATTTTTATGACTAAATGCCGATAAACGTTGAATCACCTCATACTCACAGACCAACAAAAAAATGTTTCCATTTGCAACAATCCAAACTTATAGAAAGGGGACAGGGGGTGCCATGCACATGTGCACAACCACATACGGCGGCTGTTGCAGGCAGGGCGAAGGGAGCCCCGGCTGTGACTGCCATGCATTGCTCATCTGGCAGCAGCTCAGGCAGCCAATGCAGGAGCTAGGGACCTTGCTGGGCCAGGGATTGGGTGCTGAACTCCCACTGAGCCCAGCCCCTGCATGCTCAGGGGCTAGGCCACCCCTCTGTTGGCACCCGCTAGGCGGGGCTCACTCCCAAAGCAGACACAGGGAGCGGGGAACCCGCTTCTCACCCTGGGCTAGGCAGCCACTGCTTCCTGATGCAGTGTGGGGCTCAGGGAATTCAGTGCCATTTGACAGTCAGGAGTTTTGACGAGCCTCCTCCCACAGTGAGCACCACTGGCAGCCCCAGCCTGCAGCCCCTAGCCCAGCCCCTGCCCCCACGCTCCACTCAGTGAGAGCAAAGACACCAGCTTCATATGAATGTCCTACCAAATGAACAAAATGATTTCAAGCAGGAACGCTTTATTGATTTATGGATATTTACTTTTTATATTTTAAAGTGGTTTTATAAAGCTTTTAACAGTATACCATCATTACTAAATTGTCTGCCCCCCTACACCCTTAATGTTGCATAATTTTGAAAATTTTAAAATCAACAAATATTGAAATAAATGCTTAAAAATAAACATTGATTTTAGCTGTCAAAATTAGATATATAAAAATTTTTTAAAATATTGAATTTTGCCAAGCCTAATCATGGGTAAGTACATTCACTTAATGAACCACTGAAACCTCTCCTTCACCAAAAGTCATGTAGTACACACCTGTTAGCTTTAAAATGGTGAATTATCTTTTGGCTTATTTCTTATAATCAAGGTATTTTATTTTTTAAAAAGCATGTAAGGAATTGTATCCTGTACTTTCCTATTTCAAGAATGGAAAAATGTTGCCCTTTAAATCACAAAAAAATATATTCAAAGACAATCATAGTTCATTAAACTCTATTAAATATGCTTTTGGATTTTTTGTATATAATATGCCCTTAAAATGTAACAGGTAGAAGCTTATTTTTGAATCAATGCTAAATTGAAATACAAAACTATATCATATTATATCATGTAAGAGGACCAACTAAAACGGCCTGATGTGCTTTTTCCCCAGTTTTCAATATTTTATTTCTCGCAACAGAGAGTTAGGAATATACTTATACTATAATATTTTTGAAAGAAAAAAGACACTATCACTCAGGTGGTGAACGAGAGAAGAGGTGACACCCCAAGAAAGAAACCGGTGTGCAAGCATGAAAGAAGAACTTTGCAAATGTCTTTGAATTAGGTTTCTAAGCCAAAAAAAGGTTTGTTGCCTAGACTGCATTTCAAAACATGCTGAAAGATTTTAAATTCATTATCATCATCTATCTCTGGATACCAAAACGTATTCAAGATTCATATGTTATGACCAGAAAGAATCCTTATGGATGTGATAGCTTTACCTTGTCCTTTACTAAACTTTGTATGCTCTCTGACATTTGCTGAACAAAACATTACAGGCGGTCCTCAGACTTAAGACATGGTTTTCAGGAACCAATTGTGTTGCAAGTCAAAATGTCGTAACTTGGAACCAGTTTTACCCATAGGAACAATGTTATAAATAGGCGATTGGTTCCTAAACCAAGGTCTGATACCCTATTTTCACCAAAAATAACCAATAATTTCATACTTGATCAATTATAGATGAGTAATATAGCTACATTAATGTATTTATATTGTAAATAGCAATCATATTGATTTGGAAGGACTTCTTTGAGGTGACTTTGCTGGACTTTTTGACGGGATCTTGGCTCGAGTCTTCTCAGAAGTCTTGGCTGCAGGTTTTTCTGGAGTCTTGGATGCTTTCTTAAAGAAAGCGCCCAAAGAAGGTTGGACAGATGTTCTCTTCTTTTGTTTGTAAATTTCTCTGTAGCAGCTGTACATGTAGGATATGCCCCTATTCACTGATGCACTGCGTTCAGTGTTGGGGTCATGTTCCTCAAACAGGGACATGGCAGCTTCCAAATATTGAAATGCTTCAGCCAACACTTTTGTTGTCAAGACTTTACGAGGAGGAGTCTCTTCAACAGTGGGTACATCTTCTTCTTCCTCTGCCACTTTTTGCTGCTCCAATTCAATGAGGTCGTCATTAGTTAACTCTTCAGAATGTGATGCCAGCAACCCATCAACATCCTCTGGTGCAGCACCTAAGTTGAGTCCTTTGCCCATTTCAACAGCATTTTTGAAGTCACCTGCAGCATGGGCACTGAGCAAAACAGTGAGCCTATCTTTAGCAGCTTTGTACCCTGGCATGGATTTCTCCTCTTTGGCAATGTAGGTTCTCGAAGGCATTTTTTTCCAAAAGTGCCCAGTTTCGTCAACATTAAAAACTTGCTGAGCACAATACCCACCCTCTTCAATGATTTCAGCCAATGTCCCAGGAAAAGCACAAGTTGCCTCCTCATCTGCACTGGCAGCTTCACCTGAGACCCTGATGTTATGCAAATTAGCCCTGGCTTTAAAACGCATAAACCACCCCCTACTTGCTTTAAAAGGCTCAGCATTAGAACTCTCCCCCTGTTGCTTCTTTAAATCTTCATAAAGACTCCTAGCCTTTTCCTGAATTGTGCCTAAACTCACAGGAACACGGCGTTGATTTTGACCCTCCAGCCAAATGATTAACAGTTTCTCAACCTGAGCAATAAGTCCAACCCGCTGCTTAGTTATCACAGTTGACTGCATAGGAGCAGAGCCCTTAACATGTTCCTGAATTCTTACCTTGTCTTTGGATATCCCCACGATAGTCGTCCGGGGAATATCCAAAGCTCTACTGATTTCAGTTGGCGTCTCACCTTTTTCAGACCTCTTAATTATTTCCATTTTTGTTTCCATAGTAATTGCTCTACGTTTCTTAGGAACACCACTTGCACCAGATTTACGCTTTTCTGCCATTATTATGTGCAAAGAAACACTGAATTTTAAGACAAAAGTTTGGAAACACAAAGATTCACCACGTAAAAATGGCGTCAGAACAGCAACTGAGCGTGTTGAATCAGGGAAACAGGCGGTGTGGCGGATCGGCGCAGGTAGATGGGTGGCACAGCGAACTTGTTCGCTGCTGTGGCGTTGCGTCGGATCGAGTCTTGTAAAGTCGAAACTGACGTCAGAAAGTTGAAACAGTGGGTCAATTTATAAGCGCCGTAAGTGCCGTTCGTCGTAACTCGAACTTCAGAAAGTTGAGGACTGCCTGTATTTTAGAGCAACTATCATGAATAAATTGGTCATTCTCCAAAATGCTGGGAGTATAAACGCAGGTAATAGTCACAAGGCCAGTAAACAACTGACAAAATATTCATTAACCATTTTTGAGGTGGTGTTTAAAATATTTCTAACATTTTTCACTCTGGTCATTTTAAACACAGAAAAAACATAGCTTACAAACATGCTTTCCTGCTATCAACAGTTATAGCTTATAAGGCGGATGCCAAAAAACAGCTTGGCATTAACTTTACATGGTGCTTCATAAAACTAACACTACATATATATTGAAGCCACCCACTGACTTGTAATTTTCAGGACTGTTATGCTTAGTGATGGTCTGAGATAGAATTAAGGGTTCTATTCTGCAATAAATACTTCCCTCAGTTGCAGCGCTGAAAAGCCCATGTATTCAGAAAAAGATTTTGAATCTCAACAGCTGATCAGGGACATGACATCAAATGGCTCAGAAAGGCCCTGGCCTTTCCAGGGTTTTGGTGTCTCTGGTTCTTTTTTGTTGGTTGCTTGGAATGATGCTGTGTAGACAGGCTACAGATTGCTGAAGACAATACAATAAAATCTGAACTTCCTCCCATAATCTCTCACAAACTTTAAATAAATCTTCAGATAAAAATAAAGTCAAGTCTGGAGTTATCTTCCTGTGTATTCTACAAGATACTTGAAGGGAGCCCTATATGATGATATATAGTGATATATGCCTTCATTAAAAAAACCAAAAACGTAAAGTAAAAAATAATTAGTATTTTGCAGACTGATAAATTCAATACACCCTAATTTTATATAAGCATGGAATCTGTTCCCTTCTAGTCTGCTTGAAATCTGCCCAGCAGATTTGAAAATGTGGAAGGACTCCATAACTTTTCTTAGATAGCCTCCAAACAGAGTCATGTTCTCTACAAGCAGACTACTACCTAACAAGATTCAATCCTATGGATGAAATACTATAAAATGCAGTAGCTATATTCAAACAAACTGCAGACATTTGGACACATGAAGAAAATCCCTCAAACTGTATACACCTTTTGCCAAATAAGCTTAATAAGAACCCAGTCACCGATCAACATCCACCGGTTTTACTGAGCTTTTTTCAACTGCAAAACGGGTCTAATTTTAAAAGACAACAAAAGGAAAGAATCAGAATGCTATCAAAGCCACAGACTATCAACATGCACAAAGGTGTTTGTAAGATCAGGTTTTTAAACACTTCAAGAACTTGAGGATGGCTAAAACCTTTCTGCCTTTCCTCTGATCTACAAGTATGTCCTATCTGTCTGAACAAACTTTTATATTAGCCTGTAGACAAGTGATTCTCTACCAGAGTGTCAGTGCACCCTAGGGTGCCACCAGATTCTTTGAAGGATGACGAGGAGTGAGGAAATAATCAGATAGCTAAATAAATAAATGCAGTCTCAAGCTAGTCAATGCCTGAACACAATCCCCTGAGCACAATCCCCCACCCCACTGCCTAGTCTCGCTGCAAGAAAGTGAGCACTATAATATATAAATCAGTTTTTGAAATCAAGTGCTACTTATTTCACAGAAGTTATGGTGGGGGTTCCTCAAGTCCAATGCCTAAAGAACCACTGTTGTAGACCATTTACTGGCAGGACCTGAAGACGTCAACATAGTCTTTTTAGACCCATGCTACTTTTTTAAATTCATGTAAACAGCATCATATTTATAAATAAATATAAGGAATCCTGGCTCTTGTTCTGCCATATACAAATAAATATAAGGATGCCTGGCTCTTGATCTGCCACATAGATGAGCAGATCTTAATACACGAAGCTCAAAACATTTACTTGCTCTTGCTCCTAATAACTGAAGTGGAATGCCATTGTTTACATACTATTCTTGCCAGAACAATTCTATATTTTTGTGCAAAAGCAGAACTACTGTCCAGTAGGGAACCTAAATAAAAGATTTTGCCACAGCTGGAGTGGAGAGGAAAAGAAGTCAGATTTTCACTGAAATCTGTCACTACACTGTTAACCTCCTTTGCTTTAAAATTAATATGAAGATGCTCTAAAATGTGAAGAGACTGCTGACATCTTCTGGTCAGGCAGCATGCAAAAGTTCTTTTAACACACAATTTTCAAAATACCTTTTTCAGATTTTTCCAAAACCAATACCATGGCTCACCCTCCTTCAGATGGCTAATTCAAGGAAACCATAGATACTATATTCCATTTACACCTCTACATCCCCTGCCATCTTTCATATTAACACCCCACAAGAACAGCAATCATATACCTGGGCCTCCAAGCAGTAGTGTAACACCAGTAGGTGTAGGACACCAATCCTGGGCATTTAAGAAGGCACACAGGGTGCCTAAACACTTGCTTGGGGGTTTTGAGGGACCATTTTAATTAGAGCCATCTCTGACAGTCCTAATTAAAGTGGCTGAGTGCTAATTAAGATGGTGAGCTCTAGTTAAAACAGCTTAGGGTTATGTGTATTATGCCCCGCACCCCCCATTTTAAAAAAAAAGGCTGTGGAGGCACTTTAACTAAGCTCAACAAAGTTATTTTACAACACACCTCCATGGTCATTTTAAAACATGGGGCTTAATACATGTGATGGTGAGGCAACTTGTTCATATTTTAATTAGAACGCAAGTTGGCACATCTATAAGCAGCCAAAAATACCAGCTGCAGCCAGCAGCTCAGCCACTGTGGCCCACTGGCACCCAGGGTGCAAAACTGCCCAGCTACATATATGCCTTCAAAAACAAAACAAAACAAAACGCTCCCTTCCTGCCCCCACCAAACAAACATACACGCCTGGAGAACCATAACCCACAATCCTTTGCATCTTAACTTTGTTTCACTTTGAACAGATTATGGGTCAAGGAATCGTTACCACTTAATCTCATAATGCATTCAGATATGGTACTGTTGGGAGTAACAATGAATTAACAGGCTTACCTTCAAGCTTTGTTTCTTTTTCTTTGGTTCAGTTTCACAGACAAGTTGTTCCTCTGCAGCTAATGGTCGCTTTAATTTTTTCCTTTGGCTTCCTTCCTTAATTTTTGTATTCTTCTTAATTTTTGCCATTCTAGATCAGAATCACTGAAACACATGTATATTAAAATGAAAGCATATACATTCATTCCAGTCCTACTATTCTATTATTTCATTACACAGTTATAGATAAAAAAAAAAAATCAGTAACTTTTCTTTGCCGGAAATTTTGAAACAGGAGACAGGTACGTAGCTATCAATAGGGGTCTACTTAAGTCGAGGAGGAGGCCAGCTGATTTAGCGGGGAGATCACAGGGCTGGCCGCCATATTTACAGGCTGATCGCGATGCCCCCCGCATTGCCGCTGATTGGCTGAGTGGCTCCACCCCTCACCACTGCTGCCTCCGATTGGCTGCAAGGGGTGTCCATCATACAACCCTGCCCCTTGCTGCTGATTGGTTATGAAAGCAATCCACTGTACGAGGGCTGCCAATTGGTGGAGAGGAGCAAGACAAAGCCCTCTCCATCAATTAGTGGCAAGGGGCAGGGGCAGGCAGTCCCCCTTTCCCCCAGCAGGTTGTATAGCTGGGCCACAGCACCGTGAAGACTGCTGGCTGCCCCGCCCCGCAATTTTGTAGACTTCATGGACAGCGCTGGATTTCGCAATTTCCACAGCATTGTGATTTCAGTAGGTTCCTAGCTATTGTACATCTTTTATACTGATATGTATTTAGACTACTCAGAAAAAGTAAACCTTAAACTACATGTTTATATATGCATTCTTAATATATTTTTGGAGGATTTTTAGTTTATGAGTGCAGTAAAATTAAAATACTGCAAATTAGAACAGTACGTTCTTGTAAAAAACTCAGGGTCTAACAGTCTCTGCCCCCTAGAACCCAGTATGGCAATGGCCCTTTGATCTTCTTCTATGCAGTTAGACATCAGTTAAGATTATTTTTTGCCACATTTGGAACTGTTTGGTCAAACTTTACAATAAGCTAAAAATTGACTCTGATCAGGCAAAGATTTTTTGGAGGGTGATACCTTTTACTGGATGCAGTTGGTCCAATAAAGCTATCACCACCCCACCCACACACAAATCCTTGCATCTTACATAATTCCTGGATCATCATGGCTGCACTGCTAACACCTCTGACTGGTTCACTCATTTCAAAAAGCACTTTTATACGATTGCTAATAAGTGTACCCAGCACACATGGGTATATGAACAACAGTCCCAGCAGTACAGAGATGGCTCAACTGCATTCTTGTGTCTTAATTAAAAGGACTGCAAGGACTTTTTTCTCCCTTAGTTTGGATGATATGCAAGGGGGAATTACGTGTACATGACCATCATGCATTTTGCGTTTCATTTCATACAACTCTGGATCAGAAGGAAAGCAAGTGGTTTCATGATGGTTCTACCTTTGGTCCTCAAGGGCTGCTCTACCTTATATTTAGCTGCAACAAACTTAATTACACATTTGCTGCATCTGACAAGGAGTAGAGAGACTTCAGCCACACCACGTTAGTGGTTGTAAAAGATGACAAAACTATTCCACTATATTGATACCATCTGGGGAACAACCATAGCTTGGCTCGCTAAATTTTCAGTGAAAGATTCTACCAGTTTTACACGATTTACCATATTCAGCAGCATTTCTAATCTATGACCGATATATCTTCGGAAAGATTCTTCGTCTCTGCCACTGTGTTAGACTAAGCTAGATGGATCTATTGTCTGACCCAGCAAATTGCAGTTCTTAATTAGATGTTTGTTTTAATCAAAGCTGTCTTGAATTTAAAATATATAAAATCAAAATACTTTTCTTTCAGGCATGCTAAAATATTTTCTTAACTACTTTCAATTTAATTTAATATCAAAGCTCTAACTTTAGTAATGTATACTCTACTGTACTTTTTGTGGTCAGTGGCATGAAAAACTGAGAATAAATGGGAAGGCATGTACTACAAGAGGTATTGATGTTTTAGCCATACCACACTTATCACTTTCTCTTACTGGAACATAAAGCCGTTATGTAGACTGCTTGATTATAAGGCTTTGGAAGAAGAGAAGTTTACAGTTGTACAGTGATTTATGACAAATACATCAAAATTTACTATGAACACCTACACATGCCTTTAAACATTACTCTTTTGGCTGGCTAAAGTATCCAGGTAGAAAGAGTTATTGGCCCTCTGATACATCAATACTGAGTGCACACTACTGACAATATAGTGCAACCTGTTTAAGTGCATGGCCTTCAGACTGCAAACTGCTCTGCACTTGCCAGGGAGGAGAGCTACTCATTTTCAGGAATACTAATCTGGCAGAATTGATAGGGCTGCAAGGAATGCTATAAAGCAGGGGTGTTAAAAGATCTGGCCTGAGGAACCACATCATTCAGCTCCCAGTGCTGGCCTGGGTCTTGAATGGACCTATGCACAGCCTGTGCAGGACCAAGGACACACATTGTACATGGTGCCCACTCCAGGACCTGCACTGCATGCAGCACCCACAAGAGGCCAGTCCAGGCTCCCCACAACTCCAACATGCCAAATCCAGCACCCAGCTTAACCAGTCTGGGATGCAACTCCAGCTGGTCACTGCATACAGTGTGGGTCCTGAAGTGGGAGCCATGTGGGGTGCAGTCCTGGACAAGCCACAGTAGATGTATGGTCTCTGGGTTCCCCCCCCCCACATGCTAGATCTGGCACCTGCTTTGGCTGGGCTGGGCCGGGCCGGGCCCCATGCTGCAGCAGTATTATGTGGGGTGAGTGGAAGGGGAGGATGGCAGGGGCTTTATCCAGCCTATGTGGCCAGTCCCGCAACACTCATCCAGCCCATGGAGCAGTCCCACATGGGCCAGGTGAGTTTGACACACCTGCTTTAAAGGGTGCATGCCACAAGTGCCTTCTGTGTGGCGGGTGGCAGATCAAGGACAGAGCAGAAAGTAGAGTGGCCAATCAGCTAGGGAAAGGGCATAGGAGTGGCACTTGGAGAGGGCAGAGTGCTTAATTTGTAGCACATCTGCAAAAAAGGTTAGCTCCCAACTGGTCTAAAGTGCACATGGTGTCAATGCTGGGATATCAGTAGTCCTAAAACTGAGCCCTCATCATCAAGTCTTCTACCAGCAGTCAGAAAACTATCAGAAGCCAAAAGGAGGGGAGAGAACAACTGACTAGCTCTGGTCATTGTCAAGGCTTCTAATAAGCAGCCCTTTGGCAGCTACATTTCTTTCACTGCTTCTGGCTCAAGTTAAAACACAATCAATAACAGAGTACACAATTATAGGTAGCTTGCAGTAAACCAGCATACAATTCAGCTGCCAAGTAGACAGCGGGGTTGAAACATGCTAGTTTAAACAGTTTAGGTACTTGACACCTGCATAGGCAAATCTAGGATTTTGAAAAGGGGTAGTGCAGATGGAGTGACACATCATCGCATACAGGGCAACATGCATTTATCTCCAATTGGAGTGAAACTAGGAGGTTTACTAATTTGGTAGGGAGCTAGCACTATATGATTAAGTTTAACATGAAAGCGAAAATGAACATACCTATTGGAATAGGCTGCAGCAAGGGAAGTTTAGGTTAAATATTAGCAAAAACTGTCATGAGGAGGGTGGTAAAACACTGGAAGAGGTTACCCAAAGAGGCTGTAAAATCTCCATCCTTGGAGGAAGGTTTTTAAGACCCAGATGCAGGGCAGGGATGATACAGCTGGGGACGTTCCTGCTTTGAGCAGGGAGTTGGACTAGGTCAGCAGGTTTCAACCTGAGGTCTGTGGACCTCCAGGGGACCACACATTATGTCTATGGGGTCTGTGAAAGAGAACTATGATCAAAAGTACGTGAATACCCACTTACAATTCGAAGGGGGTCTGGCACCACCATTCAAAAACTTCCAAAGGGGTCTGCACCTGCATTCAAAAAAATTTTAGGGGTCTGCAAATGAAAAAAAAAGGTTGAAAACCACTGACCTCCTAAGGTCCCTTCCAACCATAGTTTTCTATAATTGCATGAATATGCACCAATTTGCTAGAGTATACATAGTTTTAAAAAAAACAAACACCCAACAACACATGACAAACTAGGCAAAAAAACCACACAGAGTTTTGGGTGGTCATTATAGTTAGGGTCCAAAGAGAACTGCATTCGTCTCAACAAAATCTAGCCTTTGAGAGTCCTGACAGCACTGGACATGTTCACCCCCGCCGTTTCTGCACCCGAGTTACTACAAGCCAAAGCTTTTAGCTGGAGCTGAAACCAGGCTGCAGGGCTGTCACGCAGGAGGCACCAGGGGAAGGGAGTTTAAATGGGGAAACGGGACCGTGACCAAGGCCAGGGTCATTCACGCCTGGGGAGCGGAAAGACCAGCAGGAGTCGGGGCACGAGGACGAGCCACGAGGTCAAGCGGCCCCTCAGCGGGACTCCGGGGCTCACGTGGACGGGACACAGGGGGAGAGGAGGGGCCTCCACCCAGAGCGTGAAGAGAAGGTGATCCCGCCCCGGCCCCGCGCCGCCCCACGCACCTCCACGACCCGCAACGCTGTTTTCACGGAGCCCCTCGCTTGGCGCCTCAGACCGCCTCCGCGCTCTCATTGGTTCCGGCAGGCCAGCGGCGGAGCCCCATTGGGCTTCGCCGTGTCGATCACCACAGTGGCCAATGGGAAGTCGCGCAGCAGTTCGGTCCCGCCTCCTCCCTCCCGGAGCTGAGTGGTCTGGGAGCCGGCTCTGGCGGACAACGGCGCGTAGGGGTGACGCCACCAGCGCGCGCGGAGCGCTGGGTCAGAAGGGGTGAGGCTAAGAGAGGCGTGGTTGCGTGCTGCGTCACCGCGCCGCCGGGGCGGGGTGGCTACTTGCGTGCACATGCATTTTATATATATATATATATATATATATACACATATATATATACACACACACACATACATATATCTAGTGTGTGCGTATGTGTATTATATACATGCACACACTATATAAAAGGCAAATCCTACCTGCCCGCTACTTGGCTCCCTGGCTCCCTCCCTGTGGTCTAGCTGAATCCGAGGTGCATGAGGTTTTACGAGCAGGTGCTCCTTTCACCAGGGGCGGTGAAAGGATGTGCACAGACCAGATAAGGCTGTAAGGTGCGCCTCTGCCCTGACTTCTGCCTGAATTCAGGCTAACACGGCCAAGTCTGCACACCCTGAGGAGTGAATACTGAAAGTCTTCCAGATGGATACACTTCACTTGGTCCCATATACGGAATGGAAAACCAAGAATGTGGCTTGAGGGAATTAGCCTCTTCAGACAAGTTTCCAAGGCAAAGGCCTGCTTGTGGAAAACAAACCTGTGTTTTCTGCCATGTGCCACGTGCACAAGTAACTAACATTTCATTTCTGGAGACATTCCCCTCAGGCAATTCATATGCAAGAACAATGACAGAAATCAAAAGGAGCATGATTTTTCCCCCCATTTGAATGAGTGAACATTCAACAGTATGGAAATTTTAGGGGAAAATTCCTGGTGAACTCCCTCTAAAAGGTAAGCATGCTAACACAATGGAAATATACAGGAGCTGTTCTAGAGCTAAGTCTAGCTGCAGAGAGGTCAAGCGCAAAGATGCTGGCATTTAAAATTAAATCTGTAATTTAAGCTCATCTCCCACTTTGAATGGTTAGTTGAGTGTTTTCTATGGTTAAATTTACAAGAATATTATATTATGCATCCTATTGTGACATCTTGTGGTGAAATTTGGTACAGACCCACTGAAAACATGCAGTTTAAGAATTAGATAGTTGTGTAATGTAGCATCAGTTTCTGAGGCTGGGATTGGCTTGTCTTAGAAAATTCTCTGGGGAAAGCCAGGAAAATAAAGATGACTACACTTATATAATGCTTTTTTACCCTAAAGGAGCCTGCTTCTGCTCTGACTCTGCTAAACCATCACCACAGTAGACTAGGAGCTACAGGGTTGATGGAAGCTCCAGTGAGATGAAATCAAAGTCCCAATTCCATGGCAACCTGAGTCCTGACGTTTTTCTACACAAGTAGCCAAGTGAAGCAGCTAATTAGGTTCCTACTTAAGTAGTTACTTTATTAACATTGCTCCCTTAAGTGTCTCTACTTTAATTTCCAAGCTAAATTACTGTGCCATGGTAAGCAGTAGACCTATGCTTCACTGAACCCTACTTTAGTTAGAGAAGAGTTTTTGGAAGGCAGTCTAATGAAGATACAGATGTTATAAGCTTGTCTAGGGTTTATTTGATCAGGTGGTTGGGTGTGTTTTGTAACTACCCTTTCAAGCAAGCCGCTCTCTAGGCTCACTTTACAGGAAGAAAGAAGAGGAATACATGTTGTTGTGCACCAGCAAGTGATGGAATAGGTGTATTAACTCCCTTTTACAAAGATAGCAGGGGCAAGAAAAAAAAATGCTATAAGACAGCAGATTTACTTTGGGATACCAGAGGAAGGTGAATAGATTCACATCTTTTAATCATGGAGGTGAAAGTTTCAGGGACTAACTGTGCTGAAGTACAGGCATCTCTTCCAGACATCATTTCAAAATGGGCAAGTAGATTTGTATGTCAAGCAGTTTAAAAAATAAACACCTGCTGGTTCCTGGCCACTGCCTACCCAAAGTCATGCCTCACATGAACAATATTAACTGCTCAGTAAGCAAAGTGCTGTATTGGCCTCATCCTGTTTCTAAGTAGATGAGGGAGACATGCAACAGCAGTCCATGCTCACAGCTCCCCATGCAACTTAGGTCCTAATCCATCAAAAGCAAATACAATGGTTTTTGGCTGTCATTTCCAATCTTTAGCTTCTTCTTTTACTTCATGTAGAGGTATGCTTCTTCCCCCGTTAGAACACGGTTTGTGTTTTTTTACTGTATCTTGAGATACTCCAGAAAAGATACAAAGTTACCATTCTTTGCAAAAGGAAAGATGTTTAATAGTAGAGATATAAAAAAAGTACAAAAACAATTTAATTTAGTCATCAGTCTGCAGTGTAGAAAGTATGTAGGTGCACAAATTTGATCCAAGCATTAGGAATTACCCCTGCTATATTGTCTGCATCTGAAAAAAGAACACAAGAAAGGAATTAAAGATGAACAGGACTCTAATAGATCATGCTTAGCTAAGGTGCTCAGCCCTCATAGGAAAGCCATTTGAGGTAGCTCCTTGCCCTAGTTGCAACTAGACTAAGGAAAAAAAAAAGCTTCCAGAACAATATGCGATGTGCATAATCAGTGTTACCGTCTTACTATGTTCTCATACTAGACCAAGGTTAGAGGCCACTCATTGTAATGGGTGGCAATTAGCTACCCAAGTGTTTAAAAAAAAAAAGAAAAAAAAACAACCACCACTCTGGCAAGCAGCAAATAAGCTGTACCTGGTCATGTTATACACTGTGCCTACAGCCTTGCCCCTCCCCCTTGGCCTTCCTGCTTTTGATCAGAGGTCAACTAGCAACTCTAATAAAAAAGTTCAGGAAAAGCAGCAGTGATACTGCTATATTCTGTAGACACAAAGCTTTATACGTCCTTCTGGTTTAAAGGAGGAAAGGAAGATTCAGTTTATACCCATTATGCTGCAGAAGCCCACGAGACACTGTGCTTGATCCCATCACCTTGACATTGGATTCAGAGGCTCTCATTATAGCTGCACATCTACAAGGAAACAGAACCATGCTGAACATCTTTTTATTGTGCAAATGTGTGGCAAGATCTTGCTTATGCATCCACTTCTTGTCATCTCTGCAAAAGTGGTCACCCAACTGCACTAGAATCTTACTGCACAGGACAACGAAGGTAGCTCTGCCTAGAAGAGACGGATCACTATATTAGAAAGGCTAGGGCTCGAGACATTTTACTATTTTTAAACTCACTGGTTCCTACCACAGAACTCAAGGGCTATTAAAAAAGGTCAAGTCCCAGTCCATAGAAAAGGTAGAACTGAAGTGACTTGAGAGGTTGTTCCAGGTATGACTGATGGGGGCTGAGTGGCTGAATTCT